TGTGTGTGTGTGTGTGTGTGTGTGAATGTGTTTCACCTTTTTTTTTTTTATCTGAACTATCCATGTTTCATGACTTGCAGTTATTAGAGCATTTGTTTAGGTTCAACGTCACTTTTCACCATGATGTGACCATATACTTAATCTTAAAATGTCTCTCTCTCTTCAGTGCGGATGTAAACCCAGAACATCATGTGAAAATTCTAGAGGCACTTATCATGGTTGGAGGTCTAGTGGAGATACAACCTGCTCCAGGTAGGACATCAAATTAGGTTCTTAATCTTCTAGAGCAGCGGTTCCCAAACTGGGGTGCGCGCACCCCTAGGGGTGCACAGACCGACCAGCAGGGGTGCGCGAGAGAATTGCAGTGTTAATGCATTTATGTTACATTTCAGCTTCATTAGATTGTCTGTGTAAATGCATCTAAATGCCACTTCAGCTGCTTCTTTTTCTCCAGCAGTGGAAAATTTGGTTTTGTTAATACTGATTTTATTTGATTGGTAACAGCCCTATAGAGTCTTATTATATTAAGTGTAATTATTAATATGTATACAGTGAGTACTTGACGTGGATACTTGTATTGCAGTAAAAAATTTGGTGTTTAACCGGAGTACGGTGGTGGGGGTGCCTGACATGTGTCAAACACTAGAAAGGGGTGCACGCTGCAAAAAGTTTGGGAACCACTTTTCTAGAGTATAGGTTTGTCTTCTTGGATGATCTTTTATTTGTATACCTTATATATTATATATTTTTTAAAACTCACTTTTGGGACTATGTGATTGTAAGCTTATTGCATCACCCCAGGCTTCAGTTTTTGAGAACCCAGTGGGTTTTTATATTTATATTGATAGCTAACTTGTTAATTATCAAGAACCTTTTTTTAGCTAATTGTTCCAGCTGGTATCCCAGCCTGCCAGCTAAGACCAGCCTGACCAGTTAAAGAAGTGGCCAAAACCCTCTAAAACCAGCCTGCTGACCAGCTATGACCAGGCTGGGTGACCAGCTAAAACCAGCCAACAGCTTAGGCTGGTTTTAGCTGTTTTTTGTTTTTCCCCCCAGCAGGGAATTATATTAATTATCTATTAATTGTTTCTGGTAGATTTTGTCCAGACAAGTCATGCTTCTATGTCTTTGAGGGTGGACATTTCTGGAAGTAGATGTGAAAGTAGTGTCTTCTGTGGATGTAGGCCTAAATGTGTGTTTAAGGAAGAGAGGCTGAGAAAAGTGATTGGTTGATGAGTACTTAATAAATGTTCATGGTAAGCTTGTGAGGGCTACAATAATAAGTAATAGTGCGCGATACTTGCAACTATAGGTACTTGCATTGATGCAGCTTTTTTACTCCACTCAGACCTGATGAAACTTTGTTGTTTTGGATCTTCTGGCTTGACACTCCAAACGTTGAATCCAAGAATCCAAACTTTGAGTTTCAGTCATTGAACTTCCTGCAACATAATATAAATTAATATAGGCCTATTAGATGTCTGGAGATAGTCTGGAGTCCCAGGTAGTCCTAGGAGGTTAACATTAGCCTCAGCTTTTTGTAATAAAGTGCATTAAATGTGAATTATATCAGTTCAGCACAATAAAATACAGTGGAGGATTTATGGTTTCCATTTTGATGCACTTAAGTAACTCACTTTGAGCAAACCCTGGCAATTATGAATGATGTACATTAATTTCTGAATTTGCAGTACAGCATTTTTGGATTTAAACCAGCAAGCATGGATAAACATATGGGTTCACAACAAATCTGACAAATACTTTAATTCACAATGTAACATATATTTTAGTTTTTACCCAATTTCTCTGACACTCAAAGATAGAAATAGTGATTAAGTTTGTCAAAATGCATTTGAAAACGTAATTGGAAACGTTGGTCAACACAGTCTTTGACACAGAGGCTCAGTTTGGGGTGAGGTAGATTATAACTTAGAGCTAATGAATGCACCACCCATGGACACATACATAGATTTATGGGGCCTGGTGTGACCTTCTCTTGCTGCTGTGGGGTCATAACCTTAGCCCCAAAGCAAGACTAGAGGTAATAATATCAGTGGCAAGCTTGAGCCTTACTTAGAACCAACATGGTTATAAACTATATTCATAAGCTATATTCAGTGATCTAATTCGATTGGCTGTCATATACACTAGTGTTTAAAAGTTTGGGGTTGATAAGATTTTTTAAATATTTTTGAAAGAAATGCCTTATACTCAACAACGCTGCATTTATATTGCATTTATTTATTCTTGATATTTTTTCTGCTTAATATTTTTATGAAAACTGTGATACACATTTTTCAGGATTCTCTGATGAATAGAAAGTTCAAAAGAACAGCATTTTTTTTTTTTACATTGAAAACTTTTTAACATCTTTACTGTCACTTTTGATCAATTTATTGCATCCTTGATAAATAAAATTATTAATTTCTTTCAAAAGAAAATCTTATTGACACTTTTTGAACAGCAATGTAATAACTTTCAGTTTATAAATGTAAACATTTGAAACAATAGAAAAGTTTTATTCCACTTGCATATTTTACATGCACAGTACTACTAGCCCTCGAGCATCCTTGTGAATTTGTGTGGATAAATTAACTCAGAATCTGCAGAGACTGTGAGCGCAGGCTCTCCTTCCTAATGGTTTCATCATCTCTTTCACTAAAGGGTACATTAAGAGGAGTCAGAGGGCAAAGGAACCTGAATGGGTGGCATACGAGCAGAGTGAACCTCTTCACAGCCCAAAATGTGATTTATACAAAAGACAAAAGAGCAACTAGAGCAAAAAATAGGTTAGAACGCATCCATTCACATCATAACCCATCAGTTTATGTATGACTTCCTTTTTTGGAGGCAGCCAGTAATGTACCTAGAGTGCTTTAGCAAACAACTGACCCCTCCTGCGCCTCCAGCTCTCTAGTTTGGCCCTAATATGTTCCAGCTTGGTAAAGTTTGTTGGCAAAACATTGCGTTTAAAGAGCAATCTTTTGGGGGCCACGTCCGGCTCACTCTCTCTCTTGGATGACTGCACTTGTCAAATGCTGATGGATTCACTGTGGCTGTTAGCATGGGCTCTAGAGAGAAAGTGAGAGAGGAAACAAAAAGGAAAGTGGGCAAATACAAGTAAGCAAGGAGAAGGAAATGGCAAATACAGTTTAGGAAAGGTCACAGCCACTTTTATGGTATTTCTGTCACAGTCAGGGACTTCTGTTCTTCTACATTATGGAGAAACAACAGAAAAATTGTAACTTTTAGAGCATTTTTTAACATATATATGAGTCATATTTGCTCAGTTTCAAAACCTAGTGAGCATTTTAAGGCATCATGTACACTACTGTTCATGCTCACAGACTAAAGCTAAAGCTACAGTATATTCAGTAATATTTTGAAATATTATTGCAATTTAAATGTAAACATTTAAACATTTTATAAATGTAAATAAATGTTTAAAAATGTAAACTGTTTCATTCTAAAATGCTGATTTGCTGAAAGAAATTTCAAATGAGCAGCATTTATTTGAAATATAAACCTTTTGTAACATTATAAAAATTTACAGCATTATAAATTTTTTATCAGTTTAATGCGTCCTTGCTGAATAAAATGATCAATCTTTAAAAAAAAGTCATCCCAAACTTTTGATTGGTAGTGTAGTTGCACTGCCAACACAAAGGTTACAAAAAGTAGGCTGTAACTTTATGCTGGCTTTTAGAATACTTTGATTTATTTACTTTCTACAGCAGCCTCACATGTGTCCTTTGCGGGGAAGGTAATCCCATAATGCATTTCAACATGCTCAGTGAAAAAATAAGTCCAAGATGGCGGACAAGACAAAAGAAATGTCGAGTGGTGAAATAAACTAGGGATGAGGTGATTCACTTTAAAAGATCGTAGTGTTTTATTTGTAATTTATTTATGCAAAATTGTAGGCCTATATAAATTTAATTCATGGCCATTTATCGGTTATCGACTATACCATGAAAATAATCATCCGCCAGAATTTTAATACCACTTATTAATAAAAGATAGATCAGTGTGATTAAAAAATGATTATTCTAACTGAGCGTATGCTATGTATGTTTATGGTGGGGTATCATATTGTTTGCTTTCTAACACCAAACACATGTAAAATCTCAAATTTAAAGTGTAATCATTTTAAAAGAGTTTAGCATTGGTATGTTGCTAAGTTGCTTTAGAAAACAGATGCCTATGTAGGCAGTATGGAGTGAGGCAGCTTGCTAGGTTTTGGAAACAGATCGACCAAGCTATCCAAACTCTAGATCATCTCAAGGCCATGGCCTGCTGTTTTTCTCTTTTGTTTTTACTCAACCATTGTCTTTCCAGTTCTTTCTTTCTTTCTCTCTCTCTTTCTCTTTTAGCAATGTGCTGAGCTGACACATTAAAAAAAAAAAAAAATTATTTGCTTTGGCTGAGGGAGTGCTTATTTGTGTGTTGAAAAGTCCAATCTATCTGTTACTCTTTCTTTCTCTCTCTCTCTCTGTATTTCTCTGTCCCTCCTAGCCTTTGTTTCCCATCACAAAAAGCTGTTCTCGGTCATGCCCTCAAGCACTGACTTTAACCTCCATATATACACAAGCACACATGCATACGTTCTCTCCTGAGGTCATGTTGCAGCCTCATGGAATTCCCCACTGGCTGACCTGGTGTCCCAGATGACCCAGTGAAAATGACCAGTGCTTTCTTCCGCAGCCTCTCAGCTGCACACAATCACATGCTTCAATGTACCATGTAATAATCTTTGAGCTGCTCACTCTGTGGCCTTTGTTCCACAGCCCTCTATCTTCATCCATCTAAGGTCATTTGCAAGCACAAGCTCAAATTTGGCATTCTGCTTGGTCATACAGGCCCCAAGCCTGGTCATTATGGGTATTTGTAGCACTCAAGCCTTGAGAGTGGGCAGTTAACATGAGAGTAGATGAGGTGAGGTATAATGAATGCCGGAACTATTCATGACATTCTATACTTAGAATGCTTAGGATTGCTTTTTTACTGTATATTTTATATGATATTAGTGCCAAGCTGTCCTCACGCGCCATGGACTACTTCATCTGAGCTTTAATGCTTAAGAAGAGAAGATGCTCTCTCTTTCCCCCTTTCTCTCTCTCGTTCCCTGGTTTCTCCCTCTGATTACACCATTTCTTCATTAAAGAGATAGCAATCTTATTAAGGTTGCCTCAGTTGCACTATAAAACACATTAATCTTCCTTAAAGGATCCCCTGCCTTCTCTTAGCGCGGG